TGGTGCAAGCACGTGCTGGGTTGTGCTGATGATGGGCGGCGGGCACTTCGCAGGAGCTGTGTTCCGGGGGTGAGTACAGGAGGACAGAGCTGGGATTGCTCCTCTGGGCAAGGTGAGTGGGGCTAGGCATTGGACAGCCATCACCTCCCTACTCCTCCATCACAGCGCTTACTCTGGGCACCCATGGCTCCTAGTCTTTGCTTGAGAGTTGGTTAAGCCCAGTTGCACTGCAAGAGAAGTATTAATCTTTAGGGCCCCAGGGCAAGCCACAAGCTATGATCAGCTCACCTCTCCATGCATGGGGTCCTGTTGCTCATGCCTGCCCCTTTCCGCAGGCCCCAGGTGCAGGAGCACAAGACCTTCCACCGCTACACAGTGCGAGCCCGTCGGGGCACAGCCCAGGGCCTACGGGATGCCCAGACCCCAGGGTCGGCACCCAGGTCGGCCGGAGCCTCCTTGCGACGTTACAACGAGGCTGCACTGCTCAAGGTGGGGCTAGGTCAAAGCACGAGGCGCTTGGAGGGGGGACATGGCTGTGGCTGGCTCCGTGGGGTGGTACCATACTGCTGCTGGAGGGTGTGGGTGGGATGTGAGCCCTGAAGGGTGTCAGGGCCCAACTGAGGCTGCTCTGTGTTGGGTCTGTCCCTGCTCCAGAGTTATCTGTGCCCATGCAGTGTGCTCAGGACCCCATAGTGCCTCCGCTTTCTCCTCAGGATATTCAGGACCTGCTGGCAGCCTGGGCACAGCACCTGAATGAAGCTCAGCGCATCTTCCTCCGGGCCCCGCGCCACAACCGGGCGCTGCTCTTTGGTGGCAGGAACCCACCCCTTACCCGAGGCGACCCTCGCATCTGCCACATCCCCCTCAGCACCCGCAGGGCCACCCTGCGAGAAGTGCTGCGAGTCCACACCATGCTGGCCAGCCTGCAGGTGTACGGTGAGTCGGCCCAGCCTTGGTGCCCCAGTGCCTGTTGGTCAGAACAGGTACAGTGACGTGGTCCCTTCTGTAATCCCATGTGTGTTAGGGGATGCTGCCCTATGGGGTTGAGGTGCTAGCTCTCCAACCCTCAATCCCTGGAGACATGGGGTGCTCCCTGTCCCCAGGCAATGACAGGAGCACCCTTGCTGCCCAGGGAAGGACACACCATTGGAGGACATCACTGGGTCCCCCCGGAAGAGCTGGCAGAAGAGGCGGCAGAAAGCAGAGATGGATACCCCGCAGGAGGACACAAGTGGTGAGCTGAGCCATGGAACAAGCAGGGGTGTCTGGTGTTACGGCATGGGTCCAGCTCTGCAGCCCTGTGACAGGGCCTGGCACCACAGTGGGGATCAGCAGAGTGTGGCCTCATGCTGGGCAGGGGAGGAACAGGGTGTGCTTGGCTGAGAGCCCCGAGTGATTCATGCTGTGTGGGGAACCTCAAAACCCCCGTCTTATCACCCCCCTCAGCCCCAGAGGAGGAGGAGAAGGAGGAGGAAGAAAGCCCTGCAGGGGAACTGGAGACTGTGGAAGTGACACTGGGGACCTTGGACCTCCGGGAGTTTGAAGTGATGCCCAAGCGAAACCGCAAAAGGAGGAAGAAGAGGGACAAGAAGGTGGAGAAAGGTGAGGGGAAAGAACTGGCTGGAGGCAGTGTGGTAAGGTGCTGGGGAAGGGACTGCCATGTCTGGGATGCAGCCTGGCCCTGGCCTTCTTCCTCACCGTGTGCTCCCTGTGCAGGGCCCTGTGTTGAAGATCTGGGATGCTGTGGTACCCAGTGTGGGCAGCCCGGCCTGGAGCTGGTGACAGAGCTGCAGGGGAAGGCTGGGGCTGAGCCCCTTCCCTGGGGCGATGGAGGCAAGTGGGGTTGGGAGCTGGGCCGGGTGGGTGCCTGCCCCACTTGCTGGGGGCTTTGCAGCGGGGTGAAGAGCAGGTTGTCATGCCCAGAGTGGTGTGGAGTGGCTGTAGTGCAGCCACATGCCTTCGAGAGAGCCGTGTGTGCAGAGCAGTAGCTCTGAGCCAGGGGGCAGGCAGCAGCTGGCTAAGCCAGGTGTGTTGGGGGGATTGGAGTGGGGTCTCATCTCAGGAGAGAGGGCTCAGCTGCTGCCAACAGTGCCCAGCAATGCCATGGCACATTGTCACAGACTCTGAAGGTGCTGGAAATCCTGCAGTGCCCAAGCCCAGCTAGCAGGATGATGCTTTAACTGCACCCTGTGGGTTTTCTGATCAGACCAGAGCACCACTCTGCCCAGGGAGCTGTCAGACTCCCCTCCTATTCTTCTCTCGTAGGAGACCCTCAGACCCAGCTCCGTGATGCCCTGTTTACTGCCTGCAAAACAGGGGACATGGGGACACTGCGGCACCTCCTGGGTGTGCCAGAGAGCGGGGGCCTGCCAGGGGACCATGAGGATGGGGAGGGCACACAGCCCCTGGATGTGCACCACTCCCTGCTCAACCAGCCTGTGGATGATCGCGGCTGCACCCTGCTTCATGTGGCAGCACGTGCGGGGAAGGCTGAGGCTGTGCGCCTGCTGCTGGAGGCAGGAGCGGACCCTGCCCTCAGGTATGGCTGAGGGCTGCCCAGCAGCTGATGAGCGCAGCCCCGCTGTGGGAGCCCAGTAACTCACTCCTGTCTCAGCCATGGGAGACTGGTGCCAGCTTTGTCCTGGGACAGCTGGGGTTGGTCTCTACCAGCCAGGACGTCTGGGTTTGTTACGGGAGGACGAAGAGCTGAACCACCATTCTCTGCCTGCCTGGTCTGGCACAGCAGCAGGCAGGCACTGCCCCAAAGCGCTCTGAGAATTATTAGTAGGCAGTTCAGAGGGTAGGGATGAGACCACCCTTTGCAGGGCATTTGAGATGCAAGGAAGGGAAGATTTGGGGGATTCTGGTGTAGGGATAAGCAACTTTCCCCTCCTTGGCTGCGCTACCCTGGCCTGCAGTACCCATTGCATGTCTCTAAGGAGTCGCTGGGCTCACAGCCCAGTTGGACACAGGCAGTAAGATGGCAGTGAGCTGGTCCTCCTTGTCTCACAGAGATGGGCAGGAGAGGACCCCCTACTGTGTCTCTGCTGACAAACTGACCCGCAACGCCTTCCGCAAGTTCATGGTGGACCATCCAGACAAGTACGACTACAGCCGTGCCAAGGTGGGCGCCTGTCCTCTGCCCTCGCCTTCCGGGGGCTGGGGGACCCCAGGGTAAAGTACCCCTCGCCCATTCGTGCCGTTGTCCCTGGCTCAGTGGGAGATGCGGACTGCCCTCTGCCCCCAGGTGCCAGGGCCCCTGACACAGGAGATGGAGGCCAAGAAGCTGGAGAAGAAGCGGGCACAGAAGGCCCAGCGGAAGCAGCGGGAGCAGGCACAGCGGGAGGAGAGGCAGCGCTGGGAGCAGGAGCAGGGAGAGAAGCAGCGGTTCGCAGCCCTCTCCGACAGGGAGAAGGTGAGGCTGTGCATGGGGAGGGGGATCCAGCCCGGCTGGAGTGGTGCTGAGGCGGTGGGCTCTGGGCACAGCAGCTCCCAGGGGCTGGGGTAGCTGAGCTGTCTTTCTGCTCCCCAGGGAGCACTGGCTGCCGAGCGGAGGCTGGCGGCGCAGCTGCAGGACACCGGCACAACTCTTGCCAACATCAGGTAACAGCCCTGGCAGCGCGGCTCTGCAGACAAACTCTCCTACGTGAGCACACTCTTCCCTGCCCCTCTTGCTCCAGTTCTCGTTTCCAGTCTAAAGCTATTCCTGTCCACTCGATTCCCAGCAGTGCCTATCTGAAAGCTTTCTCTCTCTCTCTTCTCCTACCCCCCCTGAAATAATTTGGAAAGGACAACTTGGTCCACTTGCAGCCAGATCTATGGCAAGCCACTCCCCCAGCCACTCCTGTGCCCCAGACCCTGCATCCCACATCCCTTCCCTATGCCACCCCACAGGCTGAACTGGGCAGAGGCTTTACAACCCCCTGCGGGGACAAATTCCCCCATGTTCAGCCTGCCTGGAAGCGCCTTGCCTCGTGGGAGCGTGTCCTGGCCAGGCTGCTGGGCGAGCCCTGTAGGACCAGAGGAGCCCCAGCTCCCTCATGCTGCTGCTGCTGTCTCACATCACAGCCCAGGCAGTGAATCCTCTCTGTTCCTCTAGCGCTCTTGCAAGTGTCCACTTTGCTCAGGGACACTTCTGCTCTTCCCTGCAGCCGCTGCTGGCATTGTGGAGAGTCCCTGGTGGGCCGGATCCCTTTCCATTACCTCGACTTCTCCTTCTGCTCCACGGCCTGCCTGCAAACCCACCGCCGGGCCCGGGCCAGCCAAACGTAAGGCTGGGGACTGCTGCTGCCTGCCAAGGACCAACGTGGTGGATACACAGCTGAGCACTGGCTGTGCAGTGAGGGAGAGCCTGTGGAGCAGTGCTCGTCAGAGGGACTGAGCTGGCCACGTCACTCTTGGGGGCAACTCTGGCAAGGCCCAGGGCAAGAATGTCACTGGGTGGTGACTCTGGGGACATTACAACCAGGAGATCCCTATGTACTAGTGTGAGGGGCCAGGACAGCTCTGTGGCCCAGCTCCAGCTGGGGGGTCTTGCTGCCTGTTTTTCTCACAGCTGCCTCGTAAGCTGCTGCCCGTGGTGGTGGGACAGATCCTGACATATCTGGACCCTGTAGCCCTGAGCTACCTGCAGCCACCCCTGTGGGCACCCTTTGGCTGTGCTTTGCCCTCTCCTCTCCGGATGCCATCAGTGTCTCAGCTGTATTGCATTAGCAACTACCTCCTCTGCCTGCATTGTCAATAAAGAGGTGCCTTGACCCCCTGGGCGTGGGGGGTGTCAGCATGCGCGCTGGAACTATTTGGGATTAACTTGCAAAACAACCTCAGTTCTGAGCCCTTCTCCTTCGCACAGTCCCTGCCTGGCCCCAGAGGAGGGCAGGAGCTCTGGATGTCCATACCAGGACTTGTGCAGCCCCTCCCCTGGCCCCTGTGCTTCACCAGCCCCCTGCCATCTCCGTGGCCCCAGTGAGAGGCGACGCTGGTGCCCAGCAGCCCTGCATTTATTTTGTGGCGGTGGTGCTGCGGCTGAGGGTCCTGTTGAAAAGGGGTCGGTCAAGAAAGAGCAGGAACGGGTTGAGGGGTGCCCCTTCCAGCTCCAGCACCGTGATGTTGTTGGGGCGGCCAGCATGCAGCACCGAGCCAGGCACAAAGAGGGTCTGCTGGGGCCCACGGCGGGGCCAGTACCGGCCCAGGTTAAAGCCATTTATCCACAGCTGGCCCTGGAAGATGGAGATGGGACTGAGCTGTGCCCCTCTCCACCCTTGCCCCCTCTCCCAGCTATGCACGGCGTTACCTTGCTCCAACCTGGGAACTTCACAAAGGTGTCCCAGGTGATGCCAGGGGTTTCAAAAGTCCCAGTGTAGAAGGCCGGCCCTGCTCTGCTCCCTCTGCTTGATTTTGGCAGGGCAGCATGCGGCCAGCCCTGCTGGATGGCAGTGTCTATGGCCAGGGGGTAGATCAGCCAGTTGCTGAGAGGGCTGGAGTCCAAGGAGAGGTTCCCAAGCAAGCCCTGAGATGGAGCAGGAGGGAAAATGAGGCAGCAGGGTCTGCCACGGGCAAGAAGATGCTTGGCTTCCCCAGGGCACGTCCCCCTGGCAGCAGTGGAGGTGGGATGGGAGCCCCTCTGAGGGGCTGCACTGCCCTGGCTGCCATGGCAGCGTTAAGTGGGAGAGGGGGGCCGTGCCCATCTCGCAGCCTTATCCTGGTCACAGCAGGTTTGCCAGGTGATGGTGTGAGATGTACCAGGGAGCAGGTCTGGGGGTGGCCCCGCCTTGGCTGGGGTCTGTCGTGGATGGTGGGAGAGGGGGTGTTTGGCCACACAGGTGGCCAGGCCATCCCCTCCGAGCCCCAGGGCCCTTTCCCCTCACCTTGAAGTCACTGATGTTGGCCCCGAAGCTGATCCTGCCCATGTTCTCCAGGAGCACATCCAGGGTGTCCCCTGCCCTGCCCGTCACACGCAGCGTTGTCTGCCCATCCCGCTCCAGTGTCCCCTGGTACTCCTGCAGCCACGGGGTCAGCACTGCCACCCTGTGCCCAGATCCCACCACCCCGAATGCTGCCAGCAGCCTGCCAGCCCAGAGCTCCCCTCTGCCCCACAGGGGCAAATTTGGGCCAGCGGGCTACCCTGCAAGGGCTCAGTGTGGCTCTCAGCACCCTGGCTGTCCCCAAGACCCTGCCAGCGGGTCCCACAGCCCTCCCGAGCACTGGGCCAGGGTCGGGTGTGCTCCCACAGCCTCACCTGCTGCAGCATCACGTAGCCGCGGTCACAGACACCATGGGGAGGAGCACCCAGCGTGGCCGGGTCCAGGACATCCCGGGGCAGCCGTGTGCGGTACAGCACAAAGCCATGGGCCTGCAGGAGATGGCACAGAAGTGGAAATGGGGCTGGGGATGAGCTCTGCTCCTGGGAGCCAGGGCAGGGCAGACAAACCCAGGAGCATCTCCCCTCACTGCACCCAGCCCCTCACCTGCTTTATGGCCTCAAAGGTGAGGGGGAACTGGCTCTGGATAGGCCCCAAGGGGCAGAGCACATCCAAGACATCCAGGAGGTCAGCATACTGCAAAAAAGAGGGACGGGCACGGGGCAGCCAGGCAGTTCTGCTCCTGGGAGCCAGGGCAGGGCAGACAAACCCAGGAGCATCTCCCCTCACTGCACCCAGCCCCTCACCTGCTTTATGGCCTCAAAGGTGAGGGGGAACTGGCTCTGGATAGGCCCCAAGGGGCAGAGCACATCCAAGACATCCAGGAGGTCAGCATACTGCAAAAAAGAGGGACGGGCACGGGGCAGCCAGGCAGTGCCAGGCAGGGGCAGCACAGCCCTCGGGGCAGGCACTCACCTTCCGCAGGGCCACCCAGCCATAGGCATACTTTGGGGGTGCGGGTGGCATCAGACACACCG